TCCGCGCCCTGCGTCCTGCGTCCGCTCGGCGCCCCACGCGCCCCGGCCCGCCCCCTCCCAACGGCACGGGGCGCGCAGGACACCACCATTGGGGGCCGCACTGTGGCCCCCGGGCAGCACTGGGGCCCCGGGCAGCGAGGTGCCCCCCCCCCCCCCGCCCCCCCCCCGGATCGCACGTGCGGAGACGTGCGCGCGGCGCCCCGGTTAAAGTTACGCTGTGCAGTGCACGCGGCGCCGGCCCCCACGCGTGCGCCCGCGGCGTTTAGATCGCCGCCGTGCCGGGCGCGGGTGGTCGTGTGTGGACAGGTAAGATATCTTCATGTGTGGAAAAAGAAAGGCAGGCGGAAAGCATGCGCTTGTGTGTAAATTTATGTTGCAGTATGTGTGGAACAAGAAAGCAGGCGGGGCACACGTTTTCAGTCACGCATCCATCTATTATTCGGGCGCGGACTACCCTTGAAGGGTGGGTACACAGGTATTATCCCCCTATAAAGCCGAGTCGCGTTTGTCCGCCCACCTCGTTGCCGCACTCACACCGCCAGGCACACCACCGCACAGCCTAACACTACAGTAGTCTCTCTTTATTTGCAACCGCTTGGTGCACAGATCTGGTTGCAACAAAAGGGGCGTTGCAGACAAAGAAATGTATCATACCCTGCGTTCCTGGCCAATCGTTTGGAATGCCTCATATTTATTTCAAAAACTCATCAATGGTGCCTGCTGTAACCGTTCTGCATCTAAATACGGCGGGGTGATTTTAATTTCAAGGTTCATATATATCCTACATTGCCAGGATTTGTTCCCGCCAAACCAGTCTGTAGTACTTCAGACAGTTGCAACTTACCCTTCCCCGAGGGCTCAATTTGGGACACATTCTAGAAAACCATTGCCCCTACTCTCAGCACTCGTCAAATAGCTACCTAATCTCGCCCAGCAATGCTGTTGGGTACGCCAGTCAACTGCATTACCTTGAGGCGATGTTTGGTTGCCACCAAAACCGGTGATCTGGAAACCAGAGAAGACCGCCACAATGCAACTTCTGCCCAAAAAGGGCTCAATTTGGGACACTTCTTTTACTGTAGACGCTAGTTCTCAGCGCTCACGAATGCCAACAGAGTCTGCACGGCTTCACAAGCGTGGCTTTCTGCGACAGGGACAGAAGTCCTCGCCTTCTTTGGGGCATTCGAGCCTACCGCGCCGCCTCTTACTCGCATTTTCGCAGAACTTTGCTGCTTCTTCGCCATAGCATCTTCTTTGCGCCTTTAGCGCTCCCCGACCGATATTGCTTCTCCATAGCACGCCGCGCGTTTTCTTCCTCTCTCTTACGAAGTCTCTCCGCCTTTTTTAAAGCTTTAGCATCTTGTGCAGCCCGCTGCGCTTCTTCAACAGTCCTCTGTCTCGCCAACATTTTCCCCACTGTCAAGCGTTCAGCAGTGGCACCACACGCGAGCACCCCTGTTGTCAGAGCAGGCATTTTCGCAACTGGTGGGGGACACACACTTTTTAAAACATCTAGAACCGTGCACCGCTCGTTCAGAGCGCCCTCTATCTCAGCCAAAACTGCTGTAGGGCTGTCCCCAGAAACAAATATATTGCGCAGATCTTCAATAGTTTCAGAATCAACATGTCTCACCTTTGCAGTTCTTGCAGCTTGCCACGGGTCCATGTCATTAACACGGTCAATTTTCGCCTGCATTCTACTCTGCAAACGGTCGT